TTCCCAATCCTGCACAAAGTTTAAAGGCGCATCCCTTTTTCCAGAAAAAATATCCCGCCACGCGATGTATTTCAATGCATTTACAGTTATGTCGCGAAATGCTTTGAAATACATTTCGCGACGCTCATGCATTGAATTTCGAGGGCGCGGAAATGCATTTCAATACATATTTTCGCTACATGAATAACCCCATAACTTTTTTGTTTTTTTCAAGAAAGATAAATAAACTTCTTGGCATTATTTTTCCACAAAGCTGTTCCCTAGTGTTTTTTAAAACAAACACATAATAATGATGAATCTCTCCGCGACCTGAAAATTCCCGATACTGCACAAAGTGTTTTTTTCGTCGAATCAGCAATAATCTTGAATTTCCACGTTTCTCATCTGAATTTTCATCTGATCCTGTACAGCATTGGAGAAATTCCGACCGAGTTCTGCGTCTCCGCCGTCTAGCCCATGTAAATGGTGCGCGTTTGCATTGCTGCACATTGTTCCCTGGAGACTCCTGTTTTTCACAGCTGGAGGTGTCACTTTTTGATCCAACACGTGCATCGAGGTCGTTTTCATGTATTTTTTGTTTGAAAATTGTTAGAAATACATCAATTGATGAACTGAAACTCTTTCGGAAAATCAGAAAAATCATACATTGATTTTAGAGAATTTTTAAAGAGAAGAAATTTTTATTTTTGTTTTTAAATCGTTTTATTTGTTCGTTCATGCCAAAATCTCTGATTATCAGTTCTCTATACCCACTTAAAACTGTTTCTTTCAGATTATATGAAGCATTAATGGAACAAATCTAGCACGTCATGTTCATTCCTGTGAGTGGAAACTTTTCAATTTTTAAAATTCATAGTTGATGATTTCAGAATGACAGAGCATCGGTGTTACAACTTCCCAAGCATGGAAAAGATTCAATTGAAGCAGATATCAGATCGATTGTAGTCAACCGAGACAGGAGGCTGATAGCTGTTGCAACAAATGATGCCATTTATATATGGCTTGCAAATGTGCTCATTATTTTTTCTATCGTGGTCCAATCGTTGTTTTTTCAGCCACAACTTCTTCTTTGTTCTATTGGTGTCATTGATCAAACATTCAGGGAAACATCTGGAGAGCTGAAAGATGTTTATTGGAAACCTGATTCAAGTAGTATTGCAGTAACAGTGAGTAAACCAATTTATCAATTGTTTTTCAACTCTTTTTCACTTTTTCAGACTAATCAAAATAAAATTCTAATCTACAAACTTGAGTTACAAGAAGATGAGCAATGCTATAACTTCACTGATTCTGCCGACCCTTATTTTCAACGAAACTCTCCGGAACTTTTCATCAAAGGAAACCGGCCTATTGCCCATCTCCACCCTACAATAATCATCAATTTAGCTGATGTGCCCACTTGGTAGTTTAGTTTTGGCGAATCTGTGAATTGTAATTCAATTTCAGCTGCGTCCCTTCTCGTGACGAGTTTCTCGTCTGTATTCGGAATGGATTCACTCACCATGTGACCTGGAATGGGGAAATATTATCAAGCCTTTCTTTCCGAGCCAGCGCCATCCCGTTTTCAGTAGACCAGCTACAATCGAAGTCTGAAAATGTTACATCTAAATCCACGTTTATCATTGACGCTGTCTATGCACCACTTCTTGGAGGGTTCGCAATCGTTTTATCAGATGGAAAAGGGGCTCTACTCACTTCGAACGATCCAAACTTTTCGCCAAATGTAGGTCTTCAGTTTTAATTCAGTTTTTTAGCTAGGCTTTTTCAGGCCATATTAGGAGTATGGGCACCGAATCTGAAGGATGCTACGTGTTGCGATGTTAACCACAAGTTTCTATTAGTTCTTTTTGGGTGCAAGAAGTGAGTTATCACTGATAAATTTTCTCATAATCAAGAGTATTTTCAGCGGTGATGTCTGTGCTTACAACATTGATGAATTGAATGGGTCACTGATTCAATCGTTCCGTGTAGCACCGAAAGTAACTAATGGACCTGATTTAACAAATCGATTGGGGCCGGTTCATAAAATAACTGCTCTAATGAATGGATTTGGATTTGCAGCGATTTGGGCACCAAAAACAGAAGATGAAAAACCAATTCGAGATGCTCTTCCTCGCCTGGTTACAGTATTTACATCTTTTGGAGCACAATCGTTCTGTAACCTAGAAGGCGTTATAGAAGAAAATCTAGCAGAAAATGACGAAAATAATATGTATACGGCTATCGAATGGGGTCCAGAAGGATTTCAATTATGGCTTGGGACGAAGAATGAGTTGATGATGCAGCCGTTTGTGAGGAGCGCTTCCTGTGCGAACCCAATTATGGAACATTGTGATCGTGCAGTTTTAATGAGCGATTCACAGGTTCTGATCAGTGCGGCAAGAGAAAGGGAAGCGGAAGCTTGTGCGCCTCATTCAGTATGGAATCATGTTGATGTCACCCATGAATATCTATCCTCAAATTGGCCGTTAAGAGTGAGTTTTCCGTTTCAAATCTTCTGAAAAAAGTATTTATTCTAGTATGCATCCACCGATCGTCACTATAAGCATCTCGTTGTAGCTGGTGATCAGGGATTTGCCTATTGCTCCTTGTCGAATAGACGGTGGAAAATTTTTGGTAACGAGACGCAGGAGAAGAATCTTCTGGTGACGGGTGGTGTGTTCATCTGGAACGACGACGTCGTCGGAGTAGTCGGTGTTTCTGCAGACACTGACAAGTCTCATCTCTCATTTTATCCAATTTCACAACGTCTAGACAATCGTTTCGCATCTGTCATCGATCTAGAGCACAAATCGGTCATGTCTGCACTGCGGTTTGTTTTAAAATAGAGAATTTGGTGAAGAACTATTCAGTTTTTTTTGTTTCCAGAGACGATGTTTGCGCAATGTTCGACATTTCGGCTCAGATCACTCTCTACAAACTAACGGCTCATTTAGAAACGGGACGAGATGGATTCACAAAAGTATCCGCCGACATTGTCACCGTCATTCGAATAAACGAAATTGTTCCTCATCCAACATGCATCGTGTCTCTCCAGATGACTCAGTTGAATCTGGATCAGCGTGGAAAACTGGCACCGGCATTTTATTCAAGTATAGACACAGTTCTCGTGAACATATCAGGACGATTGATAACTCTAAGTCTCAATGAGGAAGGAAAGGTAATTATTTTCTTTCGAAATTCTTGAAATACTAAACAATTTCAGTTGCATCAACCGATGGTAATAGCTTCGTATGTCGAAAAAATGTGGCACGACCGGTGCATTGTTGCTCAATCTGCACAAAGTTTGGAGCCAGTCTGGAACGGTCATCGAAGAAACGGATCAAATGTTTCCATACATAGTGTTTCGACCACATCTGAGCCTTCATCACCAATGAATCAATCTTGTTCTTCCCATCTGAGCAATGCTCTTTGGATAGCTTGTGGAGAGAAAGGAATCAAGGTGTGGATGCCATTAGTTCCAGGGAAGAGAAACCTGGCAACTCAAGAGATGACATTCATTGCAAAAAGGATCATGCTTCCATTCGAATTGGACATTTATCCTGTTGTAATCAGCGCGAAAGATTGTCTAGCGATGGGTGTAGAGAGCCAGCTTCAACATGTTGCTCGAGCATCTAGGAGTCAAGGAAAAATGGAGTGTGTTACGATGTATGGATTGCATAGGAATAGTGAAGTTTTCGTGCATCATCTACTCCGACAACTTTTGAAGCGAAATCTCGGAGTTTTTGCATTGGAGCTCGCTGGTGCTTGTCGCTCACTTCCCCATTTTACCCATGCACTTGAACTTCTGCTGCACGGAGTTCTCGAAGAGGAAGCTACCAGCAGTGAGCCTATACCCGACCCACTCCTACCACGTTGCGTTGCCTTCATTCACGAGTTCCCAGAATTCTTAAAAACCGTTGCTCATTGTGCTCGAAAAACAGAACTGGCTCTTTGGCGGACGTTGTTCGATGTAACAGGATCACCTAACGCACTTTTTGAAGAATGTCTGCAAATAAAGCAACTGGAAAACGCAGCAAGTTTTGTGATAGTTTTGCAAAATTTAGAGACAACAGAAGTCAGCATGGACCAAGCTGCACGACTAGTGAAAGAAGCATTGAAGGAGAAAAAATGGACGATTGCAAAGGAAATGGTTCGATTCGCAGGATCTATTGGAGCTGAAGATATCGACGCATTGTATGTTCTTTTTTCGAGATGATCTTTAAATATTTTGATTTCAGGACACCACCTCCTAGTGCTAAAACATCTCTTTCCCGAAGACCGACAGTTTCCTCGCCAACAACTGATTCTTCAACAGAATTTTTTATAAATCGATTCCAAGCGGGAGCTGCTGCCAGACTAAACAAAGTTAGGCATTCTCAAAGTACTGACCAGAAGGATCCACCAAGAAAAGATTCTTTCGGAAGCTCCAAAGAGAAAACGGCGCTTTCTAGGGTGAGTATTCAGCAGACGGAATTCCTTCTTCCGGGTTTTTTTAATTTTTATTCCTTATTCCTTATTCCTGATTTTTTCTCATTCTTCCGGATAATTCGAACAATTTAAAGTTTAAATTTTAAAATAAGAAAAACGCTTTCTAAACCTAAACTACCACTTAAAAGGTCGTTTAATGAAGCCTAAATTCCTCTTTCATGTGTTTAATCAGAAAATTTCAAAAAAAAATTCGGCTTTTTTTGAAATTCTGTTCTTATTCCTTCTTCCTTATTCCGGATGTTTTTTCTATTCCTTATTCCTTATTATTTCTTTCGGATTTTAAAATTTGTATTCCTTCTTCCTTATTCCTTCTTCCGGATTTTCAGAAATTTTATTCCGCTCATGTCTGGTATTCAGAGAAGTGGGGACAAAATATTGAAAATAAATTCTAGGGGTTGTCTGGTGAATTATCGCCCCAGTTGACTGTAAATCGTCTCGCTGCAAGGATGACTACAATTCTAGAAGAACACGCGTGGCATCTATTGAACAACTACTGGATTGCAGATCTAGGTATAAGACAGATCTGGATGGTTTTGATGAGATTAATAAATTCAGGTTTCTTCTGGTCTGAAATTCAATTCGATTTACCTGAATTATTGGAGACTCGTCGCAAACAAATTTCTCTTCAATCAAAATCTACTAACGATAAATGCTATTTGATTGAAGATTTTCCACTAGCATTAACTAGGTTTGTATTGAATTCAATGATTGCATTAAAACAATGTTTTCAGATTGCACGCTCAATTTTCGTGGCCATACCCTGTCATCGGCTCCCAGTTTGTTCACCAAATCGAAAAGAAACTTGGAAATATCAGAGTCAGTCAGAGTACTGCAAGTTTGAATGGTCTCATCGGTAACGAACCAGCAGAGGCAGTTGTGAAGTCAAAAGTGAGAAGAACCGAGAAAACAGTGGTAGATTTGAATGGTGCGAGGCCTATCCGAGAAACGGATAATGAAACGAGCGAAGAAGACGTAGAGATTCAAGAAGCTGTTATGGAAAGAGTACGCGGAAGTACTGTAGAGTTTGCGCCGGTGCTTGACAGATCTCCGTCCACGTCTTCGTCTATGAATCCTCTTGCGGCACCTCATGGCCCACCAACTCCATCTTCATGTGACTCTCGTAGTTTAGCTGGTGATTGGCAGAATACCGATTTTCTCGTTGGAGAGAAATCGTCTCGTGGAAATGTTCAAAGCAGTCGACAAATTGAACTGATGCTTTATCTTTTCTCGCAAACGGCTGCACTTGATTGGATATTCTTGCTGTGCCTTTTGAGTCGTGATGAACGAAAACTACGTCAAGAAGTGACTATGGCAGTGGTAAAACGGGCTGGAGAGAAAACTGTCGCAAGAATCCGGTTTGCTTGCACAGAACTGGGAAGATGGGCAGTGGAAAAGTGTTGTGGATACGTCGCCCTATTGCAAGCATTCGATGCACATTTAGCAATAGTGGCAGAACAAGCTGGAATCGCTGATGTGAAATATGTACCGGATCGAGACAAACACAACATTTCCCTGAAGGCGAAGGCAGAAGAAAGAGGAAGAAAACAAACTGATTCTGTAGGTGTGAAGCTCAATAATTCGTTCACGAAATCGACAATGAATGGAGGACGGAGAGAACGTAGTCGTAGTGCCGATAGAGCGCATAAGTCAGTCAGAAGGTAATTCAGTATTTAAATTTCTTGATTATTTTAGAAATTTCCAGATATGACGACGTGGTTTGTGCGGAAGATGCTCTCGAAAAAGCCAACGAAGAAGGATGCTCCATCATGTAATCTCGAAATATTCCCAAAACTACATCATCTTGCTCCCACAATTTACTGGTTATAGCCCCTCTACCATATTGAAATGCCTCCTTTCTGTTTCACAATTTCCCCCACTGTATTATGTATAACTCAATTTTCAACTGTGATACGACAAAACGCTAATCGGTGCTAGTGATGTCATCCCTAATTTATCAACACATGACTAAATATTCTTATGTTTAGGATAGTCCAGAGTTTTATTGTCACCTTTATTCTCTTTTTAATTCTTTCACTGTATCTTATGAACCATATCAACCGTTTATTTCATCAAGCTATTCATGTGGAATGTGGGATTTATTAGTACTTTGGGATGGGAAAAAAGAGGAGATGGTTGACTAGAATTACTTGCGAATATCGTAGGCGGATGGGAGGTTACGCTTCTTGCGGATATCGTAGTAACTAGGAAGTCCTCGCTTCTTACGATTGTCACCTGGACCAGGAAGGACATCCGAACTAGCTGGATCGACCATCAAAATTTCGAGGGATGGGAAGTTGGCTGGAGCTCCAGAACCCTTCACCTCCTCGGAAGAGTCAGAAGAAGATTCCGAAGATGATTCTGCGTTAGCTGAAAAAATTGAGTTCTAAAATGTGTGTTTAAAGAAAGTAACAAACCAACAATAGCCAAAATGGCGAAAATGAAAAGAAGAGGTATCCAAGAACGCATGATTTCTAACACTCAAAATGTTGAGGATTGATACAATTGCTGATGATCGACTAGGCGATCAGCGGAAGCTGTCCAAACAAAGAAAATAGATACTGTAGTAGTGGGAGTTTTCTTTTTTGGGGCGGAGTAGAAAAAGGAAAAGAATACTAGAGAAAAAGAGACGCAGATAAATATCTTTCTCATTGCCTAGCTCATTTGATGTGTGACCGAGCTTTTTTTGGCAGTGAAGAGTTGTCGGGATTCCATGGGAGATAGGGAGTGTTTGCAGGAACTTTTAGATTCGGTTTGTAGTTGGTAGTTCGTTCAAATTGTCTATTTTGGGAATGGCTGGTTGGGCAGAAAATGTGTGACACCTTGGTTTTACAGAGAAATCTGAATATTTCAAGATCCAGTGTTCGAAAAACAGAATTACGATAAAACATGAAATACAACTTTACCTTTGAGCCAATTTATCTTAATTCCTGTCAAAGATTTGAAAAAGTTGTCAACTGGTAAATTGCTTATAATAATATCAGAAGTGTTGTGTCAGTTGACACTTTTTTGATATCTTACATGGGAATTGAAATAATTGAGCACAATTTTGGCATTGTGGGAGCTCTTCTATAACAGGTTTTACGGTTGATGAGTTAGGTATTGAGAAAATCTGAATGCAAAACTTACAAGAGCTAAATCGGAGAAAATCAGAATTCATATGATTATAAAGAAATTCGAATACAAAATTTTAATTTAAAAAACCAATGATTTTGAAAATTCATGAGTTTTTCCAAAGAAAAAAACGAAGCCATAAATGGATACATTTCAAAAGTTTCTGGAATGGGATGGTTTCACAACAGGCAAGGGTTCGTGATGTCAATTCAAAATTAAAAATTTTATTCAACGAACTTTGGTAAACTGGCCTAATAAGTAAAATAATGTTCCAATAAAAGCTCATCCGATACGCCCACTTCGATCTCAATTATCACGGTTCCTTCAAAAGATATCAAAAATCTGTCAACTGATAAAATATAGGTAAAACTACGATAAATAAATTATCAGTAAAAATTATCCGTTAAAGATCTTTTGAAGGAACCGAGATAATTGAGCTCAAAGTACACATATAGGATGGGCTTCTATTTGATCATTTACGCTATTCCAAGAATGAGCCCCAGAACAGATTTCAACAATCTGCCGAATAACAACACTATCCTTATAATATCATGAAAACTTTTGAAGTTTACAACTTTTCAAGATCTCTTACAGAAACCTAGATATTTAGGTCAAAGTGAAATTATACGGTTATGTTCTTCAGAGCAAAAACGATATGAAGCTTTGTTGCTGTTTTCCTCTATCGAGATGAAAAAATGAGCTTCCAAATTTTATACAAATTAGTTGACATTCATTTTGGAAATAATTTAGACTCTGGCGAATCAAAGCTGGGAATTGGAATCAATTCGTTGTCGGTTGATTTCACATTTATTTAACCCTTCACCTGAATGTCTTTAAAAAAATTTCCTGTCAAAGATGAAGGATGCAAACTGGTCATTCAAACGATTCCACGATCATTGTTAAACATGGAAAGGTTGGTTGAACTATGGAGGAATCCTCAATAGCAAACAATCCCACGGATCCATTTCTTGTCCTATCCACAGCCAGACATCATATGAGCTTTTGGACAATTAACTCTCTGATTCTCCCCCTTTTTTTGTGCACTTTCATTCGTTCCTCCTACGAAAAACTCCCCCAACCTACAACATCTGTAACTATTTAAACATTGCTTCGGATTACTTCAAACCATCAGTTCATTCGTTCGAAAAATGCGTGCCTGGATTCCTCTTCTTATTCTTCTTGTTGCTTTGGCTGTTGTTGGTAGGTTTCTGAAATTTTGAAACTTTGATAATCATCCCGTTTTCAGCCGAATCTCGCTCTTCGGAGAGCAGAGAGTCTCGTAAGGGACCAAAGAAGAATCGCAAGTCTTCTGAATCCTCGGAATCCAATTCCAACTCATCTGGTGATTCATCTGATTCTTCTGAAGAGGATAATGGATCCAGAAACAGTACAACTCCTGTTTCGACCAACTCTACCACTCCAACCACCGCCGAGCCAACCACTTCTTTCTTCGAAATCCCTACATCCAGTCCAGTTATTCTTCCATGAAACTGGCAATTTCTTGAAGAGTGAATTTTGTAGTTCAATAAAATCAGCGAGCATTTTATAAAGTCCACATTGTCATAGTTTCAACACAGAAAACATGACTCAATTATCTTTAAGAAGCTGAAGTTGTATTTCAACTTATAGTTTATCCGTGCCTGACCTTTGTACGCGATTCCGGCAAATGACACAAAAACGATTAGCTCGGAATGCCGAATAATCAAGAACACACAACGAATTCTCAACTTTTTCAAATGTTATTTGAAATTGTTGGTTGGCACGAATAGCGTGCGGAATCTTTTGATGTGTCAGGCTTTTCGAGAAATTACTAAGATTCAAGATTTTTGTAGTATAGATGCAAATGTTGTTTGATAAGTAGTTTGATAAGGGTTGTTAGATTCTGGCCATTCAATAAATTTTGAATTCAACGAGGAAAATGGAAAGAAACTAGAAAGCAAGCCTTCGAGGAAAACAGCTTTAATAAATCGAAAGAAGCTACAATATTCGATAAAATTTTACACTTCAACTGAAAAAGCGATTTTTTTTGAGTTCGGTATTACCCAAAACAACAATGTCTGAATACTGTAGTTCCTTTGAAAAAGAAATAGCATAAACACAAACAGTAAGACCCTACTAACTTTCAACTTTGAGCTAATTTATCCTAATTTCTGTAAAAGATATCAAAAAGTAGTCAACTAACAAAATGTAGCTTATAAAATTGCTAATTATTTTTCAGTTGACAACTTTTTAATATTTTTTTTGAGAGGCAATATATAAGGGGTCAAAGTAGACGCTACGATATGTAGCATCTTAAAATCCCGTGGAGCCCACTTTTATTTTATCTCTTTTTTCTCGGTTTCCGTGCAAGATACTAAAAAGTGGTCGATTGACAAAATTTAGCTGATAAAATTTCCTACCTTTTGTTAGTTTTAACAATTTTTTGGTATCTTTTACAGAAACCAACATAAATCGGCTAAATGTCAAAAGTTAGGGGTGTCATTCTATTAGAGTTTGGTTTACGGTATATTGATAACGATTCTGCCCAAAACAGAACCGTCTGTCAGAAAATGAAGTTCCTTCAAAAAGTAAGAGATTGACGGATCTTGTCAAACAATGTGGAAAATTAGATTATTGGTGGCTTGATTTTGAAAAATTACAAAAATATTGGGTCTCTTCAGTATCTTCCAGCTTCTAGTTTTGGTCTCTAGAACTTGTACCTGAACAATTTAAACCAAACTTCTTCATATTCATAGTCTACAACTGCTTTATTCTTTCAATCAACAATGGGAATGTAGGAAGTTGTTAAAAATAATCAAGATTATTTGCGACTGAGAACATCCATAATTGATCTCTTCTTACGAATGTCTCCTGGTCCTGGAAGAATACCAAAAATGTGAATTTGTTCGATCGGACCATCTCCAGAACCAGAACCCTCTTCTTCAACGATGACACCCTGAATTAAAAAAAGGCTTGCTATTTGGAGTTTAGAGATTCTAAACCAACTTCTCCGATTATCTCTTCTGAAGAGGACGATGAAGGATCTTCAAGAGAAATCACGGAATCACCAGAGTCTGCCGACTCATCATACTGTCCTAAAGTTTAAAAATTCGAATAGAACTATTTTTCTAAAGAATCACCGAAAACAGTGGAGATTGTGACGATGAGTAGGAAGAATAAGACGAGCGATCTCATAGCGTCGGAGCCCAATTAATGGTAATGACACGGGGAGGAACAACTTTGGAAACGAGAGTTATGACATGACCTGCTGCTCAAATAAAGAGTTTGTACAGCAGCATCAGCAACAGCATTTTTCCATGGTTCCGCTGGTTTTGATGAGAAAAACGAACCATTTTCAGTCAATATTTGATTTTAATGTTGAAGAAGACACATGCTAGACGCTTTGTCGAAAAAAATTTGACATTTATCACGGAATTTTTAATGCAATTTGAATGAAAGAGGTGTTTCTCTGGAAAACAATTGGAATACTGCATCTATCGTACTCGTGTTCACTTGGGTTCAAGGGAGCTGGTCAGAAAAGGCGCCCCAGGAAACCCGTAGAAGAAATTTAATAATTTCAATATGGACGCGGGTTTGATCTAGATCATGATCTATTTCTTCAAAATCAACGCGCTTTTTCGCTCATCGCTTAAAACTTTTAAACTCAGCTAACGAAGTTTGCACGGTGTTTCAAAGAACCTGGTCAAAAAACGCGCCCCAGAAAACGTTTAGGCCAGACGAAATTTAATAATTCAAAGGTGACGTGGAGTTGACCTAAATGTTTTTAATCAACGCGTTCCAAAGCGCGATTTTTCCGCTTTAAAATTTTTCCAAAATTTACTGGGGCGCGCTTTCTGACCCGCATCCTGGGACCCAAGTGCGTGTTATTATTCTTGTCCAGCAGCTATGAATCTGGCGGCAAACAATTTATTTAGAGGCGCATCGGGCTCTTTTCTAGTTTAGAGGTCCCAAAATAAAATGGAGGTCCCAAAAAAAATTAGAGGTCCGAAATACGAAAAACGCGCAGATGTTGGAATAATGTACTAGTATTTGAACTGTGTGAGTAGTTTGAGTTTTGGGGTCTTATTGGATGATATGACTACTCCTAACAATTTTAGCTTCAATTCTCTCGCATCTTGCTGATGAACCCCAATTTACATATGAGGAAAATTTGGGCAATACAGTGATGACTCCGTGATTATGCTGTCTCTCAGACTTAGATAATTGTCAGAAAATATGCATTCCTAAGCCTATTAGAAGTATAAAATATATCATCAACAATTATTTTGCTATAAGACCTCAAAACTTTAAATTCTTACACAATTCAAATTCTAGTACATTATTCCGGCATCTGTGCATTTTTAAGTTTTGGACCACTATTTTTTCTTGGGACCTCTAAACTTTTTTGGGATCTCTCATTTTTTTTGGGACCTCTATTCTTTTTTGGGACCTCTAAACTAGAAAAGAGCCGTGCATCGTTGGACCAGCAGTAAAAACAACTACTGTTGAATAAATTCATGCGTCTTCGATGCCGTACTTTGTAATTATATTTGACCCATTTTCGGTTGTTTTTCTACTTTTAAAGGAAATTCAGATGATTGTTCAAGAGAATTAGAAGAAAATCAACGAAAATAGAAGAAAAATAAATAATTTCGAGATACGGTATCGAAGGCGCATGTGTTTATTCAGAAAAACCGTAGACGTTTTCGTTTCTAGACCAACGACGCGTCCTTGAATAAAATTTCAGCGGCAAGGTTCATCGCCGCCAAACAAGAATTATAGTGAAGAATGTTTGAAAATCCGAGAGTTTGGTCGAAATACTTTATTTTTTGAAAAAATAGCTCTATTCACGTACTACAAAAAAACAACTGAAAACTATTTTGCTGGAAAAAATATGAAGGGAAACGATCGGTTGAAGAAAGAGGACCCGAAAATGTGTTGATAGAAGTAATGGGAATGGAGATTTTCAAAATGAAAAGAAGAAGAAGAAGAGTTCAAATTATGGCAGATTCTAAAGGAGACTGTAATTTAACAAGCAAACTTGGATTGACCAATGGAGATGATGAATTAAGAATCGATTGAATAGAAGCATTCGAATTGGAAAGCGTTTGAATATATGTGTTTAGAAATTCAAGGTTCGGGGCTAAATTTTGAAGCAGATTTGGAAATTGATCTATTTTCTGGATCACTGCTGCCGATGGGGTGGAAGGTAGAAGTTCTGCAGTAGTTGGAAGAGAAGCTGTTTGAATTTGTGGAAGAAGAAATGCAGTGGAAGATGTCATTAAGGAAGGAGTTGGAGAGGAATCAGATGAAGACTTCCGAGATGGAGATGACTTTCTCGATTGAGTTGTGTTATTAGAAGAGCTGAAAAATAAAAAATAAAATCAAGTTTCAAGAATAATAATTCCATACTTTTCTGTTTTCCTATCCCTCTTGTCCTTTGCTCTTCGATTCTGAAACCACGTCTTCACTTGATTCTCCGACAAACTCAGCGAATGAGCAAGAAGAAGGCGCTTCTCTCGAGCCATGTAGCTATCGCCGAGGTATTCCTGAAAAAATTAAAAATCGTTTTGGCAGAGAGTTTTTAAATGATCTTACAGTTTCAAGTCGACTAGCTTGTTCTGGCGAGAACGTTGTCCGCTTCCGGCGAGATTTCTCCGTAGGGACCGGAGATTGGAGTGGATGTTCGATGATGGAAGAAGACGGGGAGTTGGCTGGATTTGGAGTCAGAGCAGGAGCCGATTGAGGTGGAGATGATTGTGGAAGTGGTTCAATGAGTTGAAAGATCTTTGAAGATGCCGGAAGCATGGACATACTAGCGAGAGTCTCCGCAGATAGGATGAGCCTGGAAAAAAAGTATAAATTGTATTTATTGGCGCTTGTTATTCTCGAATCTTTCGAAGGTTAACCATAGCATAGGTATTCTCTTGTTTATCCTAAATATTTTTGAAAGATCTTGTTAGTTAGAAAACGTATTTTGAGAAGTTGTCAAAACATTTCGGAAATAATAATTGTCTCAAGTTTTGTTTTTGTGAGAATTCAATGATATCACCCAAAAACCCAGAAAGTCAAAACTACCGTAACCCTCAGTTTAAAGGTTATCCCTGGTAGGAATAATTAGAGATAAGAACTAGGTCAATCTTAATATTTCATTGAATTGTCTAAAAATTCCGGACTACTATATTTAAGAATAAATTCATCTTGTTTGCATGTTGATTAGTATATGTATATTTGTCATTGGGTGCTAATTAAAACTTTGTGTGCAAAACCGAGGGGGAAAAACATGTGAGAGCTCTGAAGTGACATGACCACCTTCGTTTCCTTTTTCCTAATTATTTGTCCGCTTTTGGACTCGGTTTCTCGTCCCTTTTTCCTCACTTCGTCTCATCTCCATCTACGTCAGATTATGATTCGGTTCGCCCTCGAAGTGATATGAATATGAAGGAAATGAAGTATAGATATGTGTATATATTAATATGTATTTGGATCTTCTTCTTCACTCCGCAAATAGTAATCGTAGGAAGAAGAAAGACGTTTTTTTGTATAGAGTGCTCGAGGCGATTTTCAATTTTCACGCAAACTGGATTAGTTCGGATTATGGAGATGCACCTGCATCTTTCTAGAACAACTCAATGATCTGGTTCATGACTCTTTTACGAGTATTACACAATTTTAGCCAAGTCAGCAGGTGTTCTGATTCTAATACGTTAGTCAAGAACGTTTCCGAGAAGGATTTTGGTTTATGATGTAGCTTTTGGAAGTTATTAGAAAGTGTAAGATATGGAGATCAAGAAGAGTTTTCAAGGAAAATTAATCCAGGCTCGCTTAGAAGATTTGAAGTTGTCAGGAAATTGAAATTTGAAGAATAGCAACGTTACAAACATCTTCACTTCCATTCATTTCCTCTTAAAATTCCAAAACTAGCTGAAAATAAATCGCAGGAATGGGATGTTCCAGGTCGATTCTTAATCTTTAGAATTAGATTATTCTAATTGTCTATACTAGATAAGATCTAGGTCACTTATTGAGTCAGAAGCCATTCATCATCGTTCAGTGCATTCATAATCTATAATCCGTTCTTATTACTAATTAACGGACCCTCAACATTTTGCCGCCTGAGCACATAAATATCCAAATTGCTCATCTTTGACACATCGAATCTACTAACCGCCTTCCCTCTGCCCCCTCCTTATGTTCTTTATTAATTAAGGTAAGTGGCTAACAACTCATAATGACATACCTGAGATTCTCTTCAGACAAAGACATTTCTGGTGTGGTTGGATTGACAGCAATTGGGCGGGTGTATGGATGGAATGCCGAGGAATGGACCATTCTAGAATTAGATAAATTAGATTTAATTTTGATAGATTAGAAAACGAATAGGTTCTTTGGAAGTGTTCAGTGTATATATTCTTTTGATGTATGATTCAAGAGAGAGTCCAAATTGAGTGAAGGAAATGTGTAAAGTTTTTCTCGGAGTTTCTGGCATTTTTAAGAACCAGAAACCAGAGCGGAAAGGGGGCAAGAAATGACTTCAGAAAACCAGGCTTAGAATGGATCAAAAAGAAGAAAAAGCAAAAAAGGAAGAAGAAGTAGAAATTAGAGTAAGAACGGAAAACTTTGGAAATGAAAAAGAAGATCCAGAAGGAAGAAGACATGTCGGATAATTGGGTGCAATAAATGTGTCATTCACAGTCTTTCTCGAAGCGGAGAGCCAAATTGAAAAAAAAGAGACGCCTCCCGGGAGAGGAGCACAAACAGAAAGCACATTTCCAATTGACGTGTGTTCTTTTAAAACGGCCGTTTAATTAAAAATTTAAGGAAAAAGAAGAAGGAAAAAACGAAATAGAGGGAGAGTTGGGATATAAATTGAAAAAGAGATAGGAATCTACTACTTTTTTTGAAAAGAAGAGAGTGGCAATAGGTCATCGAGCACATCAAGCACAGATCGGGAGAAAAGAGGGCGGAGTTTAAGAATCGAGACCATAGATGCAAATACTAATAAAAAGAGAAAAGGCGAAAAGAAATAGGAGGGAAGGAGGAAATAAATGAACCTTTCCGAAGGCTTCTCTCTACTAAATGGGGCGAGAGAGACTAATGAGAGTTGCAATATTTTAGTGGGGGACCCTCTTATGTGTAGGGATTAGGTGTGCAATCAAGAAGAATGTGAATGAAAAAGGAGACCGAGAGGTAATTGGAGCAAAGAGCGAGGGTGGGAATACAAGACACAAGAGGGACTAATCATAATGCGAGACATGTAATCGTGACAAGACATGAGATGGGCGGGACGGAATGGGGAACAGAGGACCGATTACTGTGGAACAGGGAGCAGGTGGGCCTTGACTATGAGGTTGTATATGTAGTAACGTGTAATTAGGGTAGAAAATGAAGAAATGTTCGATCCGGCTGGTGTCAATGATACTCTATTAGCACGGTGAGAATGAGGTGTTCCTATAATGTTTTCAAATGGATAATTGAGTAGGTGATGAAAAAAAAAAACAGACGAAGAAAACAAATCATAAAGGTTTCACATTGTGATAGAAATAAGAGGCCACCCCCCCCCCCCACCCCAAAAGATTTCAAATACAATCTCTAGTAGATTGATACAATTCACAAAATGAAAATTTCTTTTGAAATTCAAAGATATTAGTTTTATTTGTAAGCAAAATATAATTTTCAGATTTCAACTAAAGTCAGAATCCATCACGACAAATACTAGAGATTCTATTTTATTAATTAACACATTTTTGATATCTTTTGCAGAAACCAAGACATATTGGCTCAAAGTTGGCAGTTTGGGTGACCTTTTATTAGAGTGTTTACAGTAATGGTTGTGCTTTGGCGATTCAACCTAAACAAAAACGAGTTACTATGGGACCATAGTTATCTCAAGACTTGAAAAACTCTGAAATCTGGTCTACAACCGGCTCAAAACACGAATTCCTAAAAAAATGTGATATCTGGACAACATGATTTTCCCACGAATCAGACATTGCACATTGCCTCCTCAATTTTTGATACAATTGGCACAAATTGAATCATTTTTTCTCTTAAATCAAGAAAGAATTGAAAACGGGAACCATGTGACGCATTGGAAAACTTTGTCCCTCTCTTCTCTTTTTAATTGTGTCTCCTTCCAATACTGCCACGTCATTTTGTTATGGTTTATTAACTACAGTACTATATAAGGTACCCTCAGCTTGTTCATGAAGATGATTCAAATTGTTATTATTATTGTTATGTTGGAGATTAAGGGGAAAATGCTAATAAAATAGATTAAAGGTGGTGTGCGTTGAAAAATTTTATTGCTTTATTTGGTGCAGAAATACATGTAGATTTCCATAAAAACAAAGAAAAAATTCAAAAAAATTCCTTCATTGAGAGAAACGGCATCGACAAGTCAAAGTGGGATCCGGTGGCCTAGCGGCCAGGTGTGAGTTTTCTAGGCCAACTGCCGGTAAAATCGCGCGAAATTCGAATTTTTATTGAATTTCACTGTTTTCTCTGATGTTTTTAAAGATTTCAAAATGTTTTTGTTAATTTCCTCCCAGGTGTATGAAAAAACCTGACAGAATCAGAAAAACAATTAAATCAATAAAAATTCGAATTTCGCGCGCTTTTACAGGCAGTT